GCTGTTTTGATCATAAAGGTTGCAGACCCCTGCTTTAACCTAAAACAAATGTTTTGTTTAAATAAATAAACCCAGAGCAGTTTTCTGCTGTTTTTTTCTGCTGTAATGTTATTACAGAGGTTTAAATCTTGTAAATGACTGTTTTTCTGCAGACCTGGTCCTCTGCGCTGCTGAAAGCCGGGTTTCGAGCGTCAGCCGTGTCTTTTGTCGGCCGTCTGTAGGGGTTCTCCGTCACGTCCTGCGGCTGTTTGAGCAGCTCGGCCGGCTCCATGCTCCTCATGGGGATGATGTTGAAGGCATACAGATACTGCAGACAGGAAAACAACTTATTCCTGTGACTTCCATCTGAAATATTTAAAATGTGTAAAGTTGTATTTAACTGATTTTAATTATTTTGCTGACAGAAGCTAAACACCTTCTTCTTGGCGGGGTTGTTGAACGGAGCCAGAGCGATGAAGCGGCTGACGTGCTGAGCGTTCTCCTGCAGAACCACGTGATTCCTGAGGATGCAGTYAGTGTTTTATTCCCCACATGATGAGTTCTGACGTCACCTCTGCAGTTTACCTGTAAGGCAGCCGTTCGTAATGAGCGCCCTCTAGTGCTGCGAAGTGGTAGCGCGGCTTCAGTTTGTCGGCAAGGCTGGCGATGGAGCTGCTCCCACACGACTTTGTGTTCACTTCCTGCATCACGAAAACTCATTCATCACTCAGAAAGCTGCTCTGCTGACAGCGTAACGAAGAGATTAGATGTTTTTCTCAGCAGGAAAGATTCCACTTGTTACCGGCGTGTTTCCGTAGTGCCACACGCCTCGGGGCCACTGCGACGTCAGCAGGATGTCGACTCCTCTGAACTTGGAGCTGCCGGTCAGCGACGTGACGAGGGCCGAGAGGTCTTTGGACGTGAAGCAGTGAGCCGGGGCCAGCTCCTGCAGGGTCTCCCGCCCGCTGACGTAGGCGATCTGCAGACCAGACGCCCCCGTAAACACGCCTCGCCGACCTGAAACACAGCAGGGAGATGAAACTCTCTGATCTGATTCATGCTGAGGAGGGTTTACCCTGCAGTCTTACCCAGATATGTGATGTTTTCAGCCAGCTCGCAGCCGTCAGAGCTGGGGAAGTTCTTCACCGTCTCCTGACTCGCTGCACCTAAAATGTAAGTGTGGATGGGCGCTGAAACAGAAAAAAAACTCAATTTTCAGGTTTGTTTCCTGGACATTTTTGTGATGTGGAAAACTGAGCATTCGTCACCTTTCTTGGCTCCAGTTTTGTATTGTTGCCATTCTGCTTCAGCTTCAGGTGTTGTTCCAAAAAACTCTCCCACACACAGCAGCAGCTGCAGAGAAACAACAAAATCATAAAAMAACAACAACTGACTGTTTCATGAAAATGTTGATGATTCGGGATTTGACTCACATCAAACTGTCCAGATTTCTTCTGGATGGACTGAACTCGACTGAAGAGACCATTCAATCTGCCTTCAACATCCCCACATGCCAAGCTGTAAACATCATTAGCATTAAGCTAAAAACAGACGTGTTCTAAAATTAAACATAAAATTAAAACCTCTAGATATAAACCACGGCAACAGTTAACAACATTAAATATTAATAAACCAACAGATCAGATATTCACGAAGTTAAACTCACACTTTTACTGGCTGCTGCTCCATATTCGCCTCAAATTCAGCGGGTTAGCAGCTTCAACGCATCGTCCGTCTCCAATAAAGGTTCGACCGGAACAAGCCGGAACTAATGTTCTCTCCACAAGCTACATAAGTTTTACAAAAAGAAATTTAGCATTACTATATGCATTAAATTTAATTTGTCATCATTTAGAAAGATTTTGATTATTTTCTTTAGGAACATTAGAGATTTGAGTGATCAACTTGGTTGCCACATTTCGTTTCATTACATAAAAAATGAAGCACTGTTTTTATTTAGAACTTTTTTACTGTAAAAATSAGTTCATTTAGTATTGTTGTAATATAACGGTATCAACATTATTTAATTAGTTAAAGACTTAGAGGGAAAAAGAGCAAAATTGGGGTAATGCACGGATGACGTCAGGGGCAACCTTCTGGTGTTGCGTTGAAAACTGACACCATTTTAACTGATGCACATTAAGGAGCCTAGCCTTAGTTCTTTTTGTATAATAAAATAATAATTGAAACAAACGTGTTAATGGGTATAATATGCAAATTATTTTCTTCTTGTTTTCAGCGTAGCTTGTTTGAGGCTCGTTTTAAACATAAAACTGCCTTCAGGTGCGCGTTTCACGGCGGTTTTTGCCRCTTTACGGCAGGGGTACTTTATTCGACACAACACCACCTCCTCCATCCTGGCAYTTCGCTTCATCCTGGTACCTCGAAAGTCCCCGGACCAAAAACAGGAAGTAAGTAGCCAAATCAAAAGCAAAATTCACCTTCTCTTTGATGTCAGGGTCCATTAGGGGTTCAAGGGAAGATAAAAGCGAGAAAATCGCATTAAAACGTCAAATAAAGCACCCGAACGCCTCCGAACCACATAAGCTTCACCTTGTCTTCAAACATGGCGGCGGAGATTTTTCGTCCTTTTTTTTTTCGGGCTGGATGCTGTGTTGTTAGCTTCGAGTTCGAACTGCTCTAAAAACCGATACGTCTTTCTACTTGTTATATTTTTATTTTTGTTTATTTAACTTGGAATATATTAAGTGTCATTTTATCTATGTAATTAAATACAGATGTGAGCTTTTGTGTTTGCGCAGAATCCCGACCGCCATGTATTCAAAGGAGTCGTCCACCAAACACTATATAAAAAAAAACACATTTTTTGCTTATATATAAACAATAACAGCTGTAATTAATTTAAGTTTATTCAGAGTTTTAATAAGTGACCCAAGCTATAATTCGGCTTATGTAAGGTCCAATATTTCTTTATTCAATGTATATTTTAAATTATTTATTTACGTCGATTCTACATAAAGCCGGTAGAGGGCGACAAAAACTTATTGTTTCTTTCCTATTCTKCACGTTTTTCACAAATTTTCTTTATTTCTACACAGTACCTCCAATGTGAAATCTCATTACTGTTGAAAAAACAATAAAAGCCAAATAATTTGATTTAAATGGACATCCTGTGTATTGCTGTAAAGAATAAAAATTACTGTGTAATTTAGCATACCTAATAAATTAACTTATTTTTCACATTTGCATCACTTCCAACCCTAAATACTTAAACCCAAACTGGGATTATGTGTAATTTGAATAAAATGAACAACATTCTTACAGCTGATTAGTTAGTTTACACAAAAATGACGACACATCAATAAATGTTACTGATACTGAGGTAAAGCTGGCTGTGGTTGTAGCTGCAACTCATCCTCAAAACATACTCCGAGTGCTACTTTGAAAGATTTGCCATTACATACATCACACGCACACACACACACACACACACACACACACACACACGTGTGCGGAGGTGGTTAGTTGGGTATGTTTCTGTTAAAGCAGGTGCAGCATGAGCTCAGCAGGAGAAGACGACGCCGCCACATCATTAGAAACGGTAAAATCTGTCACTTTAACTCGAGAAGCTGATGGAAGCATCATCCTCCACTGTCCTCCAACTGGTGGGTCGTGAATAAATAAAAATTTGTCTTATTTGTTGTCAAAGTTCATTTTTCTTTAAACATCAGTTCAAACAATTTTAAAGTTTGTTTAATTGGTAAAACAAACGAYTTCTTTGATTAATCCACAGAAACATCCTAAATAAATTCTGCGGAGGATCTTAAACGAGACTTTTTAAATAAATCCCTCTGATGGTTTAGTTTTAAAGAAGTTGTTTGTGTTGATCTGAGGCTCCTGTTTGCAGACGATGATTCGGAGCCTCTTCAGAAGAAACTTCGACTTTCTGCAGAAGAAACCTCTGAGACGTCTCAGTTCTCCATCGTCACTCTGCCCAGTGAGACTTTTCACATTTTTGATTTATTTTATTATTTTTTTCAGCCACCGGATGTTTAACTGTTTGTTTATTTGTTAAACATTTGAAGAGGATCACCTGTGATTTATTGATGTGAAAAGTGTCCAGATTGGTTTATTTACCTTTTTTATAAACTTATTTATTCATATTTGTGTTTACTAACTTATTTAGGTTTTTATTTTATTTTTTCACCAACTCACTTATTTATTTACTTACTCACTTATTTATTTACTTACTTACTTACTTACTCACTTACTTACTCACTTA